GATAAGAATAACAGTTTCAAACAAGCAATGAGTTATAATCGTGCAGACTACTATAGGTTGGTGCGTGGAGCATGCTAATTAGTGAATTGTCACGGTTAATGTTACGGCATACCCAGAATGAAGATGAGGTTACTACGAAAGAAAAAATGGGTATTGGCCACGAGGTCTGTTAGATTTCTTCCCGAAATGAGCAGAATGAACCTTCTGAACCACTGTTTTAGTAAAATGCGGTGACACTTCATCAGTATCTGAATCGGAAACGTCCAAATTGGGGTCAACTTGCGAGATCAAGGCTTTGGGATCTTCTTCTACGGTTTCCGTAATTCCCAGTGGATACAGTAAAGAAATAGGCCGACATATTTTTTGACCTGCTTGTGTCTGTAATTCAACTTTGCTAATCTGATTATCAAGGCCTTGATTGAGCTGTGTAATTTTAACAAGACCCGCGAGGCATTTTTTCTTCTTTAAAAAGTACAACCTCACCAATTCTAGGTGGTCGAAGGGTTTGACTATGAGGTCCTTTACGGAAGCGCTGTGTGCGTTCGCAAAGCACGTTCAAGTAGTCTCTTTGCCAAAACTTCCAAAAGACAGCTAAACACTGCTGTGTTCTGTTCCATTGCAACAACAGTTTTTCTCGATTACTTAGCCCAAGTGGGTCAGCCTTCGCGATGCCCCCTTCCGAGGGCACATCAAGAATTAGAAAAGCCCTTGGTAACAAAAAATCAATCGGTCGCAAGATATCCATTGAATCGCTTGAAACATAAGCCAGAGGCGTTCATTTATTGTTCCTTCTACTTCTGATAACAGAGTTCGCAACTCTGAATCACTAACTTTTCGTCGACCAATTGCGCAACGAAGAGAATTTTTTGTTATACCTATCAGGCGCTCATAAATGCCATCTTTCCAAGGGGCCAAGGCTCCAGTGAATTTCCACTCAATCATCTGACGACTTGCGAACTTCTTCAGTGTTTCTAAAGCTTTGGCTGTTAGTGCAAAATTGGATGCGTTGTCGGACAGCATGGTACGCGGTGTCCCGCGTCGTCCGATAAATCTTCGCAAGCAGTCGACGAAGCTATTTGCTGAGAAGTTATCTGCCATTTCCAAATGAATTGCTCGAGTTGTAGTGCAGGTAAATACGGCAACCCATCTTTTTATCATAACCGTGCCACTAAACACTAAACACGTTTATCGGTCCGAAGTAATCTACAGCTGTCGTGCAGAAGGCGTGCCCTGGTACTACGCGACATTCCGGCAACGTAGACATTTCGGGGAGCTTAAAGGTTTTGCGGTCCACCGACGACAGTACATGCACATCCTCTGTATTACTAGTTATGCGTTTTTGCCTATATGCAAATTGCAAAAACGCATATTGGGACGACCCTGTCTG